TGTGTGGTTTCACCATCTTACCTAACCTAAAATTTATAAGCTACACCCAAACTTTTCTTGGCCAAACACGACAAAAATGGTGGGAAATCATAAAATTGAATGAAACTGACTATTACTATATTTTCTATAAAGTGCATACATTTATGTCGATGACAGAAGTGAGTCTATATCAAAGTGAGAAATATTTCAATGATCTAGCATACAATGCTGCATTTACTCTATTTGACATGCATCACATAATAAATCTCCACAATTCTATAATTTACAATACCAAATTGCTAGTCTGATCAAGCACACACAAGCTTTCTGTTCATTTGATTAAAATGATATAGAAAAGACACCTGAAATTTTTTATTACATGTCAGCTGACTGGTTCTCGCTAATGTGCACTTATTAACATATTGACTGCCAAATTTCTGAAAAATAAATGATGACTGACAACATTGGATGCTAGTCAGAGTTTTGTGATGAGATGCAACCTAAATATTTATTAATCAGAAACTAAATGACAGAAATACAAATTCCAAACAAACCTAGCCCTCCATTGATTACATTCAAACTGTATGCATAATTTAGTTCAAAGCTTTTTAGATGTTGAGTAACATACGTAATATAATAAATACAACAGCTGCATTATTTATAGGATATCAAACGTTTATTGTCAATTGCCGAAAAGCACCAAGTTCTGTGGATTTAAATGTCTTGGGGTGTCTGTAACCAAGTCATCGAATCACACAATAGATTCTTTGTTTGAAGATGGAAGATGTACTACTGTGGAATACTTTATCTCTGAAAAGGCTTTTTGGGCGTTTTGTATGGAATTTATTTTCACTGATTTTTAATGTGAAATATAGGAAAAAATGTATATTCGCTGGATTTTATTTTCACGGAATCATCCCTTCAGCGAAAATAAACTCCAAGCGAAAATAAAGTATTCTACAGTATCTTACACTGCAACCAATATTCAATGTAAAGCTATTCTGGTTAAGATAATCTGAGATGCACAGCTATTACGTTCTTTCTTTCTGAATTTATAGGATGCCTATTTTACTCCTATTAACCACTGCATCTGGGTAAGCACCCCAACATTATTCACTTCCTGAGTTAGTTGTTTTTAGTATGCTTCTGAAGCCATGAATGACAAGATTTATTCTTGTGAGCACAATAAATAACTTGTAATATGTCAGCTTTCAGTCAGTATAACTCGCGTACATCATAACTTTCAGATTTAATTATTGGCCGAGTTATTAAATCAAAAAGATTTGCTATTCAGTTATAATAATAAACCATTCAAGAAAGATACAGAGCTTGACATGATCAGTATTAAACATTCCAGCAATCATAGTTAGTTGTACAGTAGGGTAAAGCCGTCAATACACGTAACTACAAAGCAACAATGCTAAACTGGTCCAAAGTGCAAGACAGGACCAATTGAGCATAAAAACATACATCATTGTAAAACAATACCAAGTAGTGTTATATGATACATGACCCCTCACGTGAGTCCAATACCAATTGATTGCTTCTCAAACAACCTATACTTATCATTCTTAGCTATAGACAACATGGTAAAATATGTTCCCATTTGTTACGTGGGGGCTGACAAATCAGCATCCAGGGACTGTCGTACAGAGGTTTTCAGCAGACTCGCAGAATAATCATATTATCAGAGTTTTCTCTTAGAAATGACCAAATATGGTAGTACTAATTTACATATTATTTGCGAGTGAAGGAAATCTTTCACAGCAGTGATGTGGGCACAAAAGTTTTTCAGTAGACTCGCAGAGAGAATGATCATATCAGTGTTTTCTTCTAAAAATGATCAAATATGGTAGTACTAATTTACATATTATTTGCGAGTGTGGGGAACCTTTCACAGCAGTGATGTGGGCACAAATGTTTTTAGTAGACTCGCAGAGAGAATAATAATATCAGTGTTCTCTCCTAGAAATGCCAACTGACTACCATTTTCAAGACTCCAAGCCACAACCTACCATTAGCAATGAGGCAAAAATCCTTAGTAAACAGTTTGCACCTTACCAAACCAAACAAAACCAGTCTATATCCTCCCTCTCTAGCATTGACACAGCCTTGAACAAACAATAAACCTAACTTTTCAAGTGTACCCTAGCGTTAAATGAATGCCTGAAGAGGGAAATATTTGCTTCATTAATTGAAGTCAACAGTTTTAGTCATTTTAAAGTATATACTAATTGGTGATATATTGACATATTGTAAAGACCGTGAAGAAATCAGGTGGGTGTTGACACTTGCTCTGAACAGAAGTCTGTGGTTTTGTTATTCACTGATGAAAGGCGAGATATTACTTTAGACTATATTCAAAATGTTCTGGCAAAAAGCCATATTTGAGATGTGAACTTTTCATACAACATCTTGTATGTTACCAACTTTAAATTTAGTTTTTTAAGATAAATTTTTGTGCCGTGAGTCTGGTTTAGAATAATGTAGGGCTTACTTAGAGTAATTTGGTCAGCTTAACAGGAAATGTTTTCCTCATCATTCCATATTACACTAGGATACTTATGACACTGAGAGACTGACTTTTACACATAACAAATATTAGGCAGCAAAAACAATTTTACTGAAATTTTTATTTCAGTGACAATTTGAGATCAGAAAAACATAATTTCATACAGTTGATTGATTTTCCGAAGATATTGTTTCCAAGCTTAAATTTATTGAAAAACCAAGATTGTCCAAATTACTACATAAGTAAGTACTTCCCAAATATATCATAAATATCATTTTCTGTAAAGACAAAGTATTAGCCGCCTCACATTCATGCATTTTATATATTTCTTATTAAGTCAACAAAACTAATTTGTGGAACAGAGTAAAGTTTTTAGCAAAGAGTGAATTTAAATTATTATGTTCGCAATCTGTATTACAGGCATATGCAACAGAAGAGACTTAGAACTTTTTTATGACATTGTAGACTCGCCTACACTGTACTCCCAACAAAGTGAATCTCACACCCAGTCAATTCTATGCATTCAAAATGTTCTTTGTTTCATTGATATCATTAACCCGCTAAGCACAGACCATGCCTGTAATAATGACGCATTGTGTTTTGCATAGGACAAACATAGTGGGATATTTATTTTTAGGGCTGTCTTCACCACTGTTATTGTTTACAACTGCAGACTCTTCCTTGGAAACCAAAAAAATACTGGGCTGTTAATACTTGTACTGTACTCAAGTACAGAAACATGGCAGGAGAAAAAAAAACTTCCATTGCTATAGAGCTGGGCAAAATAACAAATCTTCTAATGCAGGCATGTTATTACTGATATAACACGAATTGTAGTGAAATGATATGCAGGTTGCTATGACAACTTGAAATATGACATATTTAACGCAATTCAGAAATTGTCATGTCTGGTGAGTGAATTACTCCTCATCAATATCCTGGGAGTTCATAAATCCAACACTAAGCCTTTTATAAGTCACTCAAATTAGTTGGCTTAATTTACATAAGGCGTCAACCACGAGTCCACTTGTCACCATTCAAACCAAACAAAAAAGTCTGCTTTGCAGATTACTACAATACACTGAAATGTTCTGCGACAGTGAAAACAAAATCTTGCACAAGATAAAGCACATCAGTGGAATACAGAACTGTAAGGCACAAAATTGCATAAAATGCCACAACAATAGTGTCCAGTTCACCGGGGTACACAATCCCTGTTATTTCCTCCACTTCAATCTATTGTTGTATAATCTCAGGTGACAATAGGGCTTGGTTTTACTACAGTGCAAACTGAAAATGTCTTCCTGTTTTCTCTGACATAAATGGTGCTAAAGAATCACATACATTTGTGTAATTACAATCGTTTCAAGAGATAAAAGTTGTTTTTTCAGGTGCATTAACTTGATGGCCACTGACTACAAACCTGTACACATGTTACGATATGGAAATTCTATACAGTACAGTAAAAAAAAAACATTTTTGTGTACATACCATTCCAAAACATATTTATCGACAACTGAAACGTTTTAGTGGAAAACTATTTCTAAACTACTGTAAAATACTTTATTCTAGCTAGCATTAATTTTCGCTGAAATGACTTTTTAGGCGTTTTGTATGGAATTTATTTTCACTGATTTTTGATGGAGTTGAATGTAAAATATAGGAAAAAAGGTATATTCCCTGGATTTTATTTTCACTGAAATATTTCTACAGTGAAAATTAATTCCAAGCGAAAATAAAGTATTCTACAGTATAGTAAAATACTTCATTCTGCCAACCTTGTGTACTTTTACATTGATTTGATCAGACAAGAGTTAAATGCACCAATGCCAGTAATACACTGACAAGATTGTGTTGTCTACGAAAGTGAAAATAAACATTCTGCGCATGAAATCTGTAGAATAAACAGCGTGATTGTGTTTTTGAGAGGTATGGGTTACATACTAGTAGGATGTATACATCATGTGCATGTACAATTGATATATTCAACAGGTGGCTAATGTGTAATAAACTGACAAATTAAAAAAGCATATCTCTAATAGATGTGCACATAAACCATTGGTGCAAGTAGAAAGATCTGAAGTGAACAAAATTTTAGTGAACAAAAAAAAAGCATAATTTTGTGAAAATTTTAGAAGCCAATAATTTACGAAAAATCTGCTAAATAATTAGCCTAGTGGTCAAATTTTTAGAGTAGGCAAAATTTGATAGGAATTAGTACAGTGCTTTGAGTCGCATGGATGGTACACATGAGGAAATTAGCTCATGTTCAGACAGGTATCATGAGAAGCTATTATCAAATCAACAGGTGTGAAAAACAATCAGGATTAAAACTAGAATACAATGCGATTATCACAAGGTATAAAAGCTGCTGAGAATCTGGGAGAGCAGTTCAGAAGTACAAGTTAAAAATTGAATAATATATATATAATTGCATCTTATATACAACCACAAACCATTCCAATCTCGATTACGCATAGCAGTCAGTACAAAGTAAAACTGAACAAACCTGCTGAAGACTTTCATAACATTCCAAATTTTCAATCTTTGATACAGAATTTTTATCCAGGATCAATGTGGTGCAGTGCTGTTCGCTGCTAGTTGACTGTGACCTTTCAATCCTCCTCAAGGCACGACCCGTCATATCTTTAACTACCATGTTGGATCTGTTTTCTATCAAGCATAGAATAGACAAGAATTTTAGTTTGTAACCGTCAAAGCAAAGTATGTACTGAAGCGAGTGATTTTAACTGATGATCATCATCACCTCAAATACATGCAATCATAAAAGACTCAGGTCCACTACACAAAACCAGATTTGAAAAGAATTGCAAAATACTCCTGCATACACAAACATTGGTGAACAGACAATGGACAACAATGCATGACACTATTGTCTTACCCCTGAACTTGCCCTTGTGTGATCAGTTAATGTAGTAACTAGTGGGATCTTCTCCAGATATGTGCAAACCTATACCGTTCTCCACTAAAGATGGAACATCCTCTTACTATTTTCCCCACTTAGAAATTGCGTAGCTGCCCTTCGGAGTCATGCACTTTTGCCTGTTTGTGACAGTTTGAATGTTGCATTGTTAGTCCAGCACAATAAGACACAACTCCGAACACGCTCCGTTGGAACAGGCGTGAGGCAATTGGCTGGAGGGATGACTCTACCGCTGCGAGTACCAAGAGTACCAGTAGTAAACAAAATGCTACCACTGAGCGTGCGGGGGGCGCAGTGCTGTACTACGCCTGTCAATAATTCAACTAACTACATACATACATACATACACACACATACAATATATTGGGGAGGGTCTAGACTCGATGGTGATCCTGAATCAGAGGTGTCGACGCACACTAAAAGGACGGTCATGGAAAATGGCTCGCTGCCAGGTTGGCACACGTCCAAGGCAGTGAAAAACGTGTTACTCACTCTTGACGCTTACGTTGATTCCGAATCACAAACGCCGGGGTTGCCACAACAGAAAGACGATGCGATGTTAAAAATAACTCCGACGTAAACTTTCGCTGTGAAATGATCTTTTGGGTATTCACCAAATTTCAAAAAAACACTTCAGAGTAAAAAACGTAAACATTGCGCGTAGCTAAGCCCGACCACGTCCAGCCATGTCCCAACTCGCCTATACTAACATTCAGTAACATATTTTTTTTTGTGCAAACTCAGTAAAGTATTCATTTGTAATTCTCTAAAAGCACACATACAATCTCATTTGATTGAAGAATGCACAGTATAAAGCTGGTGCAAAAACACTCTTTAAAATTCATAAAAATTACCTTTCTCTGGAGGTGACCGTAATCGTCCTGTTGCGAAGTCCTCCATCTTGTATTTGAAATTGTTCCCGCTGTTATCAATTTCCGGTATAGTTCGGAATGGACTTCGGCTACTTCCGGAAATTACCTCCCATCATCCTCTTCGATTAAAGCAGCCATTTTGATCATGAAGTAAGTGAGATACACACATTTTATCGTTGATTATCCTTGTCATCCTAACTTTTATTAAACATTTCCTCATACTGACAAGTTCTCCAGAATGTTTAGTTTCTTGATGCGTATTAATTTGATTTTTCAGGGTCGAGCTGTGTTTTTTTAGCGGGTATAAAATTTACCCTGGCCATGGCAAGAAGTATGCCAGGATCGACGGGAAGGTACGTTATTGCCGTATAAAGATGTTTCACTCAAACCATTTCCTTCTCAAGACATATTTTAAAACTTTCCAATCTATATAGCGTCTTCGGAAGGCAGTGACCAATAAAACAGTTCACCCCAAAGCTGCATAGATGCGATTAACTTGTATATCAACAAATAACATGAGGGCGTCCTTGGCTTTGGAACGATTCCGAATAAATTGTCAAACGCGTGCAATATGCTGTTTTTAAAGTTACTAAATAGAAAACTTATGTAATATACACGTCGTTATTTATTTTAAATGATAATTTTGATCTGATTCAAAAATGGAATCATCAAAATCATCACCCACCCCTAACACTAACCCTACCCGTACCCTCAAGTGCTCCCAAACTTAATTGTATATGCTCCTCCCAAGGACACCTCTAGTTATCTAGAGGAGGCATTTACAAATGAATTGGGTGGCTTGGGGTGAGGATTAGAGTTAGGATTCGGAGTGGACATGCAAAAGGAACTCCTTCTGATTGAGAAAAAACAAAAACAAAAAAACTGTTGTGTAACTAACATGATGAATGTGGAATGATCGGTTTAATGTTTCTAACATCGATGATCTTCGATAGAGCTGGCAATGGATCCCCACGACATTGTCAGTTTGAAGTCATTTAAATTTGATCACTGGCTTCCCACTCAAACACCACCGTTCGATCCTGATATAGCAAAACCAGGTACACGTGCAAGACAGTATACATGGAATGCCCATGCATACACCATCAATAAACTAAGTTTGATGTTATTTCTTGTCAATTTAAGCAAATTGAATATAATTCGTAGTGCAATTGAGATTTTTACGAATAAATCCAGGTTCTGACAGATACTCATTCATGTTTTGCTCATCTGCTATATCAGGATCGATGGTGGTGTTTTAGTGGGATCCAGCTACTGAATTTAAATAATGCCCACTCTAACAACTAAAAATTCTAGAGTATGTTTACTGATGTCGGCTGACCAGCAATTGCTGTTGAATAGGCATGTAGTATAGTATTCTCAACAGAAATTCTATTTTAATTGCATAATACCCAATTACCATATATTAATCCTGCAGAAACAGTTGTGCAGGATAAATTAGTGATGGGATGGTCATAGGTTTGAGCTGTGTAGCAGAATGGTTTTGGTTAAGTTTCAGCATTTGGGTTTGAAACATACAAAATGACGGCATACATGCATCAGTATTTTTGTTTTCAAGAGTGGAAAAAAGGAAATGTTGGTGATCTTTTAAAATAGTGGAATATCAGCAACTGTCCACATATTTCTTGTGTTTACTGGTAAAAGTTTCTGTGCCCAGTACTAAATAAAGTGTGAATATTGGGAGACAGCTGCAAATTTTAGCTATTTTTAGCTATTTTTAATAGTTATTTAGGAATAAGATTACCAAATATTATCTTCTATATATGCAAATTTTAGGGGGACCTTGCACAGGTACAAAATTTGAGGGGGGGTGGGTAAATTAAGATGTGTGGTATAGTTGTAAAATCACTTGAATGCTGCATAAATTGTGACTGCCTAGCAATTTAACATAGTTGAGCAGTTATTCACTTTACTAGAAATAGTGTAAACACATGCTTTAGTCCAGCACGCTACCCCAAAAATTTTAATTCAACATATGCCAGGTAAGTGAGAATATTGTATCTTATTGGGAAGAATAAAACATTGGTTTACAAAACAGTTTTCGTTCATTTCCACTAGTACAGCGAACAAACACAAATGTTCACAAACATTTCTTGCGTTTTACTGTAAATGCATTAATGGTTCACTGGGTTTTAATTTTGCCATACGAGTAAAACGTGTGAAATAATGATAAAACTCATTGTTCGTATGTGAAAATTATTGGGGTCTGGGAAAAAAAGTTGAAGATCTTCATTTTAGTTGTTGAATATTTTCAATTGTACAAAAATCTCTTGATGCAAAGAATTTCTGCCATGTTTCGCTGTACAATTTGATCTACATCAATGTCCTTTGATCTGATAGATCGCTGGTGTAATCAATTATCAAGTGTTAAATTGAAGGTGTCTCTGGATTCTTCATTGCTTGTTTCTATAACCATTAAATGTTTACTGTCAATCCAGGTATTCCAATTTATCAATGGCAAGAGTGAAGCATCATTCAAGATGCGACGAAATCCACGTAAGATAAACTGGACAGTGCTGTATCGTCGCAAACATAAAAAGGGAAAACAAGAGGAAGTTACCAAGAAGAGATCGAGAAAAACAACAAAGTTCCAAAGAGCCATCACTGGTGCAACCATGGATGAGATTCTCGCTAGGAGGAATCAAAAGCCAGAAGTTCGCAAAGCACAGCGAGATCAAGCTATCAGGTATGGTCAGTGTTCTCCCCAGGAATTTTAACCACTGTGGCTGACTAATTTGCATATGATTTGCATATCATTTACATAATAATAGAGATTGACCAAAGCACATTTACACCCACATAACAAACAACATAAATTTTCAAAAACAATGTGGCACATATTTATTTGCTTCATACAGTGTTATAAACACTATTCTTTTGGGATATTAATGAGCTCAGTCACAGTGCAAATATTTTTGACTCCCATGTGCGAAGCACAAAATGGGAGTCTTTGCAGTTAGTGTGTGTGTATGTGTGTGTGTATGTGTGTGTGTATGTGTGTGTGTGTGTGTCCGACTGTTCCACTGCTATCTCAAGAACCATACATCGGTTTTTGATGAAACTTGGTGCATAGATGCTCTGGGCCAATGCGCAGATTTGATTAGGTTTTGGTAAAAATCCATGCTCGTTAATTACCTAATTTGCATGATAATTAGCTAATTTTTAGCTGTTCTATGACTGTTCCACTGATATCTAAAGAACCACTCATTTGATTTTGATGAAACTTGGTACATAGATGCTCTGAACATATGCGCAGATTTGATTAATTTTTGG